CACATTTTCTCATCATCAAATATTTTTCAATAAAATTTTTCTATTTTAGTGTACCTGATGTCACTTCCCTGCTTTTCTCGAAGAAGACACCCAAACTTACATTTTTCATAGGACATTATAAATTTTGTATCTAGCTCTGGCTCCTTCTCTAAGGGGAGGAGAGGGATACGAAGCAAGGGGGTGGAGTCATTCACTTCCCTTTCTCCTTCCCTCCCTCCCGTCATAGTATTTCTCTTTCATTTGCATCGTATTTGGGAATTGTACTGCTAAAAAAATCTTATTTGCTGATCATCTTCTAATTATAGGCCTCGCACTTCATGGAAACAATGTGCAGTGGGAACTGCATACGAGTGGTGACTTTCGGCCCTGGAAACTTTCCCATGCTCGTTCCCAGTGGGGCTCAGGTAGGGACAAGGTTTTAAAAGCCTACAGAACTGTCCAGTAAGTAAATACAAACCAAAGAATCAAGAAGATTTTTCTCCAAAATTATGCACTATACTTCTATATTTAAAAATTAAAGTTTTCATAATATAAAAGGACAGCATCAAAAATGATATTTTCAATGAAAGGTGTACTGAAAAAGCCGTTCCATTTTAAGCATATTCTGCAAACTGTTTTCATAATGTGTTCCACTCTTTCTGACAATACCACCCCAAATGAAAGGAGTCCCCAATGTATCTGTCAAAGGTTGAGAAAGTATGGCTAATTCTTTCCACATGGCAGTGAAGTTACTATTGCTCTTAGCTCAGGTAAGTCCCTAGGAGTCCCAGATTTTTGATACTGTATACAAAATACAGAATAACTCCCCTATCCCCCGTTCCATGTAATCTCTGAGAAATACAGAAAAAGTTTTGAGTAGCAGAAAACTACAGAAGACAATTAGCACTGTACGAACTACTCAGAATGATGAATAAACCCTTCCAAATCCTAAAGTTTTTTACTATAAAAGAGCAATTGAACAAAAAACTTAAGGGAATGAATAATCAACATGCTTGAAAACAGAACAAGACTTGGCCTGCACAGATTACACAAACTTTAATGCAACAACCACATTTTCCTCCCATGCTTTGAGCGTGTGTGCTGTCCTCCCCTTGGCCGCAGAAGTGGCTGCTGCTAGAAGGAAAGCTTTCACCCAGCACAGAGCTCCCTCCCTGGAGGCTGCTGTGTTCCCTCCTAGCCCCCCAGTCAGATCATGGAGATGCAACAGAGTCTGGGAAATTCACTCTGGGACAACCCTGTCCCCTCTGCCCAAGATTTTTCATCTGCATTCTGGTTCGGGAAAAGGAAAATACTTTATTCTATGAAGTTACATTTTTGCCTTTATGGTACTATATTAAATTACTGTATATACTGGAATATATTATAACATTTTATTATGAGATTTTCAAGCACATATTCATGTTGAGATAATTTTACACAATTATATAATGTTCACATACAATCCTCTCATCAACCCATCTTATGATTGTTCTCATTTTCTAATGTTTCAAAATAAATTAAAGATATCAGCTCCTTTCTCTTCACAAACTTTAGCACATAATCATAGACTAGTCTAAAAATTAATATTGGATTTTTTCAAGGTAAATTTTATACAATGATATAGGAAGATCTAAATTAAACATCCACTGATTTTTTTGACAAATACACATACTACCATAACCTAAAAACCTGTCAAGATACAAATCTAACTATAAATCTATTCATTTGATTTAGTAGGTCTTAACCAATAGCCTATTTGTCTATTCATGCCCTAGTAACAATATGTTTTAAATACCCCAGCTTTATAATAACTTTTAAAATCTGCATGTCATGTTAACTTACTTTCAAAATTATTTTGGCTTTTTTGACATTCAATTCTCCCCTTGAATTTTCAAATCATCTTACTTCATTGCAAAAAAAGAAAAAGATTTTGATTATTCTTCATTGACTTGCAGTAGGAATGGGTTGTTATAATATTCAGTCCACCCTACAAGAACAGATGCCTTTTCACTTGGTCAAGACTTCATTCAAGTTCTGCAGTTGTGTGTGTGAATTATTTTCATAGAGATTGTTCATAAGTTTATTTCTTTTCAAAAATATCTTTGCTTATCATAGGCATTTTATTATACTTTTATTGTGAATCTTGTGTGCAGACTTATGAAATTTGCTTATGGTCCATAGGAAATTTTCAGTTGATTCTTTTGGGGTTTGATACATAAAATCATTATCCACAAACCACTTCCTTTCCGATTTCTCTTATTTTTTCACTATAATTGCATCAGCTAGTATTCCCATAAGAATACTTATATTAGGAAAACATGACTGATTTTATCCATCTTCTTTATAGCCAGTAGTGTCTGAAAACAATAGATGGCCTTTATCTTCTGGAGATCGCTTTCTCAACTTATCTTTTCAAGAATTATCAAGAATTATCCCACTTCAAGTTATATGGAGGTGAACAATGGTTAATTACAGTGGTACCTCAGTTCATCAACAATTTTGTTTCCAAACAATTTGGTTCGCAAACTGAACCATTCAGCAAAATTTTGTTTTTGTTTGGGAACTCTACTCTTGGGGATGAACCTAACTGTGGTCATCTTTCCCACATGAACATGAAAGTGGCCATTTTTCCAGAATCGTGGAGCAGCTTAAAAGTATTTTTTCTATATCTGTGATCATTTTTTTGTTTTTATTTATTATTTTATATAATTGTGACTCTCCCTTTCTAACTACCTTTCTAAGAAAAACAGCTCTTGAATTTATTTTTTAGTGTTATGGTTTTTCTGTTTGTACTTCAATTTTTACTTTTATTTATTCTCATTTTTCTTGTATACCCATGGAGACATTTCAGGTTACGTATTTTTCCTCTGATAATAGTGTTACTATGAACCATGAATTTATGTAACATTTTAATCAGTCATATTTTCTAGATATTCCAATATTTTATTTTCTTTTTGATCAGGAAACTATTTGAATTTTAAAATCATTATGTGACATTTTGCGTATAAATAAATCATGCAACAATAGCAAAATTTTAACCTATTTATGCCTAGTGTTCCATTTTTGAATGCCACAATCAATAAAACATGGTAAAAAATTGTTTTTGAATTCTTGTTCCTTAAATTTTTCTAGGTAACACATATGAATTTCATGCAAAAAAAGAAAAAATTGCATACTTTGGCATAAACGAGTTAATGTGGGTTATTATATGCATATGTATCTTTTCATAGAGTTTTTCCCCTATACGGGAGTATTTTCCCAATGAAGTATTTCCATTTAATGTATGCATATATAAGGACATACATTAAAATTTTTACCAGCTGCTCCTCAAAGGACTATTATCTAAAATATATAAAGAACTCAAAACAATCAGCTCCCCCAAATATAAAAATCCAATTCAAAAATGAGCATCTGAAATGAACAGACATTTCTCAGACAAACAAGTAAAAACAACAAGTAAATATATGAAAAAATGTTCCACATCACTGGTCATTCGAGAGATGCAGATGAAAACAACACTGAGATTCTACCTCACCCCACAAAGAATGGCTGCTATCAAGAAATCAAACAATAACATGTTGGCAGGGTTGTGGGGAGAAAGGAACCCTTCTCCATTGTTGGTGGGAGTGCAGACTGGTGCAACCACTGTGGAAATCAATATGGAGACACCTGAAAGAGCTGGGACTAGAGGTTCCCATTTGACCCAGCCATCCTTCTACTAGGTATCTTTCCAAAAGAATTAAAAGAATCATATCACAGAGATATATATACACACCTATGTTTATAGCGGAACAGTTTGTAATAGCTAAAACTTGGAAACAACCCATTTGTCCATCAGTTGGAAACTGGATAAAGAAGATGTGTTTTTTCTACAAAATGAAATATTACTCAGCCATAAAGAAGGAGAAATTAGATTTATTCATAGGAAAATGGATGCATATTGAGGATATACTCCAAAGTGAAATAAATAAGTACACATGTGTAAATACTGAATAGTTTCTCTGGTGTGAAAAGCTATAATAGTACATAAGATCCTAATGATTTAATTGACAATGTGAGATAAGAAAAGGGCTAAAGGTGTAGGGAAAGTGGGAAGGGTAGGGGAAAGGTAATAAGGGAAAAGAAACAAATACGAGAAAATGAAAAAATGGAAATAAAGTGTTTATAAATGGGGAGGGGAGGAGGGGGTGAAGGGAGGGCAGGGACAAGGGAAAAAATGAGAACCAAGACCTGTCATGTAAAGGTACAAGATCCCAATAATGAATGTGACTGTACTGTATACCTAAAATGTACCAATAAACTCAATGAGGAAAAATAAATAAATAAATAAAATTCATTTTAACTAATATGTACATTAACCACTATGTACTCTAGTTATATTACATAGATTTATTTTTTTTTAATTATCCTCCTTGATAAGAGAAGACCGAGCCTTGGAAAAATTATGAAAAGAGTAGCTCTCAGAATCAAACTAATAAAACCAGGATACCTGCCCAAATAAAGTTTATTTTGAAGCCTACACACTCTTTCTACCTCTCCAAACTGCATCACTAGAAATATGAGGTTAAAAAAAAACCCAAAGTAAAAATGATATATAATTACCCCTTGATTTCCAGGGAGGATTAGTTTCAGGACCCCCATGGACCCCAAAATCTGCAAATACTCAAGTCACTTATATAAAATGTAATTAATATTTGCATGTAACTCTCATACATTCTTCTATGTACTTTAAAATATCTCTATGTTGCTTTTAATACCCAACACAAGGTGAATGCTATATAAATAATTGTTATGTTATATTGTTTAAGGAATAAAAAACAAAGGAAAAGTCTATGCATGCTCAATACAAATACAATTTAAAAGAAAATATTTTCTGTCCTCGGTTGAATCCCGTGGATAGAGAGGGCTGACTGGAGCATGTATGGGAAATATACATAAAATACACTTCTATAGATATATTTCAGATGTATAACGAAAAATGTAGATATGTTATTTTACCTTGATAAAAACCAAAAACTTACAGGCTTCAAATGCAGAGCTGTGTTAGAAAAATGACCATTCTGCTTTTGGGGTTCTTTCGGATTTTAAAGTATTCCACAAGAGGCTCCTTTCACTATTTCACTCTTGCCATCAAAAAATTCATCTTTCGTGGTAAATTTGTCTCTAGAATAAATAATCCTAATTTTAAAATGCTATCCCTTCTTACTAAATATTTTCTAAAACTGTGATTGCTTTTATGCCTGGAGAAAAGGGTGATAGGTGTGCTGTTTATATCCTCCTTAAACTGTGTTGAGCACTGAGGGCTACGTATATCAAAATTGTGAAGGTTGCAGGATTGTTTTACAATGTCTATGAGTCTGTTCATTTCTTCCAAGGCTTTGAATCTTAGCAATAAGATTCTAGTCATTTTATTGTCTTCAAATCAAAGCTATACATATTAAGAAACATAAGAAAAGCATGTATACATCAAAGGAATTTTAGGGATTGTGTTTATTCATCCTAAAACATTTAGGAAACTTATTTGATAGTAGAGAAATAAGATAAAAGGAATACCTAGGATCTATGATAAGCAAATATGTGTTTCTACAAAGCGAAGAGAAAAAAGACGTTCCAACAAAAGTTCTTCCTCCTTTGGAACTATAGAATGATTCCTGGGGCATAGTATGTCTAGAAATCATATGATAATGATAGAAGAAAAAGATGAAAAGATTTATTGGGGTGAAATTTACTTTACAAAAGAAAGTATTATAATTATGAAATGAGTCACCTAAAGGATAAAATCATTACTGTCTAGTATATTGCTTAAAAGGAGAAATTTATTCTATAGAGATAACAATTATCAAGAGCTTTACTAAATGCCAGGTATATAACATGCATTTTAACTCATTTAATTTTCACAACTTCCTATCAAATAAGGATTTTTATCCAAATTTGACTGAGAAGAAAATTGAGGCAAAAGGAGTTAAATTATACAACAAAAATCTCACTGAGCCAGGTTCAAATGGTGCCTACCTATAATCCCAGTACTCTGGGAGGCTGAGATAGGAGGGTTGCAAGTTCAAGCCCAGTCTAGGCAACTTTGTGACTTCATGAGGCCCTGACTCATAATTTAAGAAAAAAAAAGTTTAAATGCAGGGTCATAGCTCAGTGTGAAGGCTCTGGAATCAATCCTCTGTACTGCCCAAAAAGAAGGTCACACTGCAAGTGCATAACAGATTTAGAGTCCTAAAACAAGCATTCTGACCTAAAAGGTTTTTATATTTAATTATTCTGTTTTACTAATATCAGAAGATAATTTAGTCAAGGACTGAGCTATTGAGTCCACCAATTCATCAAAATTAACCATTCCTATGGGTTTAAAGAAATAACTTTTCATTGTGTGGTAGTTACCGGTGTGATTCGGAGAGATTATGCCAGTGGATAGATTTTTAAAAGAGTATCTTCTGTCAGATAATCACTGCTGGTTCAGATCATACACTTGGATTTAAAACACTCCAAACATTGTTTATACCTTGAACTTACAGGCACTTCGATGACTCTTCCTTTCAAACAGTTCTTGTACTACATGTGTTGGCATCTGCCTTCACTTCTGAATTACAAATGCTCCAAAGCTCAAGGACTCTGCCTCCTTTATCTGTGTAATGCCAGGCACCCAACACTTGAAATGTTCTTCATCACCAAGCAGGGGCCAGCGGAGACTAGACACAGGCCATTGCCCTCCTGGGTCACACGGTAACCGTGAAGTACCTTCAGCTTCTGAGTAACCGACAAGAAAAGTCACGTGGCAGGTGCAGATACATAAGGACGCTAACATTAAACCAAGATGAATACTCTAAACCCCATACTGCCTTCGTCCAAAGGCTAAGAAGTGCAAGCAAATAGAGCTGGAGAGAAACTAGGCATAGAAAAAGTGAGTTAAGACTCGAGTGTCAAAGTACAATGAGAGCTTTTTGTACACAGTAAATAAACATATACCACATATGAGTCTCATAAGAAAGCCTTTTAACTGTCACCATTTATCTTCCTGTCTATATACAAGTATTTTTTCGATTATTTTAAGAATTTTTCCTGTTCCATAAAAATAAGCAGAAAATGGAAAATTGCAATATACCTTATTACAAAAACAAAAAGCACAGGTCTTTTTAAGTTGTTACACAGAAGAAAGTCATTCTATATGCCTAAAGTGGTAACTCTTGCTTCTAACCACAGTTTATTGGATTTAAGCTGGTCAAGTAAGTGTGGGTTCAATCTTGAAGAAAAAATATGAAGTTTAAAAACATGTAAAAATTGCTACAACAACATCTTCAAAATGTGCTACTAAATGCAATAGTAATTTTAAAATTTAACCCTTTTCGTGCTCTTGCATAACAAAGTTCCGTAAATACGTAAATATCTTCAACTTTTAGACATTTGAATTTCAAAGATTCCTCAGAAACTTATTCTACAAAGAAAAATGGGAGAAGGGGGAAGAGGGAAGGGTAGGGGAAAGGAAAAGAAAAAATATGAGAAGACGAAAAATGGAAAAAAGGTTTTTGTAAATAGGGCAGGGAGGAGGGGGTGAAGGGAGGGTGGGGACAAGGGGAAAAAATGAGAACCAAGACCTGTCATGTAAAGGCACAAGATCCCAATGATGAATGTAATTGTACTGTATACCTAAGATGTACCAATAAACAGTGAGGAAAAACAAAAGTAAGAGACTCTCTCTGTAAAACTTTTAAGAACAAGAAATATTACTGTATTTCTGCAAGCCGGTGATCTTCAACTAGGGGAAAATTTGCCCCCAGAGGTATGTTTGGACCGTTTGAACATTTTTTTTATAGTGGCGATCGGGGCAAAGGATGCTGTGGCATCTGATGAGTAATCAGATTCGCTGCTAACCATCCTTTAGTGCCCAGGACAGCCCCACATGTATCTAACCCAAGGTTGTAATAGTGCTGAGGTTGAGCGATCCCGGATTTAGGGTAAGATAAGAGCTATAAAGACAAACGATCCAATCTGTGACTTGGCGCACCAAAGGTTTATTGCCTGCCTTAAACCAATGTAGGCTGATAGTGGGGAGCTCTGATTTCGCGCATATTCAAGGATCTATGTTTTATCCATGCAGTGGCTCTACTAAAGCCTGAAGGTTTAGAATCATTCCTTAGTTCTTCCTGGGAGACAGAGAAATAAATAGGGCTCTTCAGAAAAATGCATGCGGGACTTTTTGTTCTCTCGGGGTCTCCCTGGAGGTGTGTATATCACTTCTGTCCGTGCACACTGTGCCAGTCCCCAGTCACATCGGTGCCTAATGCCAAGAAAGGCCAGAAAATGTAGTTTAGCCTGGTGTCCAAAGAGTGGAAACATTTGTTTATATCTGCAAAGTATCTACTTTCATGTATTAGTTATCTCTGTGTCTAACAAAATACTTTGGGAAACAAGACAATAACAATAAATTAATAACTTAACGCAAAGGAACTTGTATTAATGTAAAGTAAGATTTTTTTAGACTAGGCATTAAACTCAGAGCCTTTGGACTTAGTAACACGCCTAACACTTTCTTTCATTCTTCCTCCCCTCGTGTACTTTTTTGAGACAGAGTCCTGCTAAGTCATTAAATTGCCCAGACTAGGATCAAGCTTGTGATCCTCCTGCTTCACCTTCCAGAGGGATTATAGAATATTTCCTTAAGAAAAAACAAAAAGCAGAATCTAGAAGAATCTGAAATTAGCATTTAGTATGAGGTCATCCAAAAATTTTATTTGTGAATGTCTCACTAGAATGGAATTTTATAGTTATATAAGATTTTTAAGCCTCGCTTCTAATACACAAGTGATGTATTATTTATTTATTTCATATTTTATATTTTCAAACTCTTCATGTATAAGTACTTAATTCAGTATTTAAGGTATCTGTGAGTTTTTTAATTACTTAAATTTTGAGATAATAAATATGTAACTTTTTATGTAAACAAAAAAATCATTATGCTAAAATTAACGTGAAGTCTCACGGTCATAGGTCCAAGTCGCACACCGTGGGGCTACTTTCTTATTCTCAAACATCAACATGAAATGTGAAATCAAATAGCAGCTTTCTAAAATATTAAAACAGGGAAGAGATAAAACATTAAAACAAGGAAGAGATAACAACAACTATGATCAACAGTATAATGTTAGCATTTAATCTTTGGGTACATTTAAGAAGATATTTTTGATGCAATTTTACCAAATTTTTCATTCTTTTAGAAAAATTGGGGATAAAAGAATGAATTAAAAATAGGCCTTACCCCTATATACCAAATGCAGCAACCTAAATTTTTCTACACTCAAATGAATGTTTTATTTTTTTTAGACAAGAGAGAAATAAAACCTTCATACTATCACAGGGTAAAGTAAATTACTGTGCAACCATCTTCCCAACCACCTATATTTACATTGCTCTGAAATTAAGAATTGGATTTAGTTTAACAACTGACATAGTGTTCAGAGATAACCAGTTTCTGCAGTGTCAACTGTGGATTTTTCTTTTCATTCTTTTCCAATGCTCCTCTCATGGATTGATTACTTCTAACATGCTAGTCTATCAGCAGTATGGAGCAAGAGTAGAGACAGGATGTGGTCATAATGTAATTGCTACATTCCACTGCAGAGTTAATAAAAATTCAGGGTACCTCATAAATATTTCTAATCTATTTGCTTAGAGGAAAGGAAGTATTTATGGTTTGAAAATCTCTGGCTATAAAAAAGAGTAGTCCAGTTTATTCTACAGTATCAAGTAGCTTTTTGTTAGTTTTATGGGTAAGTTAGTACTACCAAACCTACCTTCAGAACATATGTAATAAATTCTATCCAACCAATCTAGTTTATTTTGGACAGAACTACATTTAAATAAGACAACTGCAAGTCACCAAAGACACCACTATATTCTATTCAGGGGTCTATATATGATCTTCATCCTTGTCTTTTTAAGATACTATGACGGAATGACAGAAATAGTCATGATCAAGAGTTTCCTTCATTAAGCAATTTCAATAAGAAGATGATATAAAATTTTTCTAAACAAAACTTTGTAGTTATATCAAAGAACCAAATAGTTATTCACTAACTATATAATGATGTTGCAGTTCACAAAAATAGCATGCATGTGAGGTTCACAAAGATATTTTCCTATTTTTTAATTCCTTTCATAGGAAGATTGTAAAACATTCTTCAAAAATTGTATGGTCATTCTAAAATTTATGCTTGCAACACACGTCTGCTTTGCTTCCAAATTAAGCTAAAATTCATTGGCATAAAGGACTCCACTTTTACAAGAGGAACTTCTTACAAGAGAGTCAGGTGTGCTGGGTTTCAATAATGACTTTGTTCCTTATTAGCTACATGGCTTGGGCAAGTCATGTGTATGTCTCTTTCTCTGTAAAAATAGATTAGATAGATAGGTAGGTAGATAGATAGATAGATAGATAGATAGATAAAATTTTAAAATACCTATTCTATCAAGACTAAATAAGCATTGCAAATAATGTTCTGAAAACACATCTGGCACATAGTGAGCTCCCAAAGAAATGTTGACTCCTATTGTTATTCTTCTATATAACACAACACTTAGCAGAATATCGGCACCCATAGAAGGCACTCAGTATAACACAGTATAAGTGCTTTGAATAAATTGGCCATCATACATTTTGTATGGTTACAGAAATGTAGCCTAGTTATAAGCAGGAGAAGGAATTGTGAATCAGAAATGAGAATCCAATTTATGAGAAATACAACTTCTAAGAACCAAGATACATCATGTAAAGGGACAAAGTTCTGATGACGAATGTAACTGTACTGTATACCTAAAATGTACCAATAAACTTAATGGAAAAAAAGAAGAAATACAACGTTTCCTAACCAACTAAGTCTTGGTTTTTCTCTTCCGTTAATGGTTCCAGGATTATTCTTAAAGGTCATTGCAAGAATTAGGAAAGTATGGTGAGCACTGGCAAAAATGCCTAGCACTCAATCAGTGATGGGTATCATTAATCTCTGCAGGATGATGCTGGTGATGCTGGTCTACAGATGTGATTCACTTATTTCACCACATTTGTAAGTTTCCTCCAGTGCAAGGCACTGTGCTAGTGACTAGAAGCAAAAGATGTTTTCTGTTACTCATACTCTATTTGAAGTAGGAGTTTTAAAAGATGGTGAAATCACTTTATTTAAAAACATAAATTTTCAATGGTGACCAAGAAAAAGTATAAAAGCAGACATGGAGAGCAATAACCATTTTACTGAAGACTATGGCCAGGCCTCTTTGAGTAGTGCAACAGCATAGTGAGAAATGTAAAATTAGTTTACAAAATATAATCTTTAAAAATATTAAGTGCAAAATGATACCCAAATTTTTAAAATTCTAGAATCCAGAAGATGAGTCTATGAAATACAGTTTAAATAAAATAGAAGTGTATGCTCTTTTTCAGAATAGACCCCTCTGTGTTATGAGATGTGTGCTCACCTACAACAACTCAAGCATGCAGGAGTGTGATGTTAGGCAGTTGACGGTCGAGAATGGCTTCTCCACCCCAGCATATTTCTTCCTCCTAATGGACTGCTAAGGCACCAAATGACAACAGCCCTTTATGAACAACTGGGAGGTGCTAGAGAGCCAGTTCACTCACATCATTAATCCTTGAATCAATAAATCCTTAAATGACCATAAATTCATGAATCCTTGTACCCTCTGAATTGCTTGTGTATTGGTTAGGAAATCAAACACAGGAAACGC